CTGCTATGTTAGCTAAAAGACCCGGTGCAAGACATTTCACTCACTTCGTATCACATTTCAACATTAAGTTAACTAAAATCTATAAGATCATAGTGGACAGATTCTTTCTACCACATCCATACAGAGAATATAGAGTACATTGCTTCTAGCAAAAACAAGCATACAGAGGAGATTTTCCCCCAAAAAACTTTTTGGTACTCATTATGGGTTCACCACACCACGAAGTGGTGGTGAACCCATATTGCTTTTTCTGATGTTTCTTCTTCTCCTCCTTCTCCTCCTGCCATTTCTTTAAATGGATTCAGCTTCTTCATTTTGGGGCCTAAGGACCTGAAATTTGGTATGGAGGTACAGTAGGCAAATACCCCTAGGCGTTTTTTAAATTTTTGTGATACAGGCTTTTAGAATGGTTTTATTTGAGTTTTTTGGCTGTATTATAGCAAATGTATTACTGAGTTAGTGTGCAGTGTTACCACATTTGGGCATGAGTCATCACAATGGAATGCAGGGCATCAACCAATAGGCATGCAGCTTTCCTCTATTCTCCTTGCTGATTGGCTGTTGGAATTTAACAGGCTTAACTTAATTAATATCTGCACAGAGCCATTCCATACTGACAGTATGTCTGTATTCAAGTGTTTTGGTAGGTATTTTAAGCTTTCCTGCTCCAGCATTGGAATGCGGGGCATGAACGCTTCTTTTTCTTGAAATCAACAGTTTGCATTATGCAATTAAAAATCCTAACCAATAATGTAGGGAATAGCTATCCAACTGTTGTAGTCTTAGCTGTATGTTACTTCATACTATAGTTATATCAATGTTAAGCATTGTTTTCCCTTGTGTTTCTCATTCTTTCCCTGCCATGTCGTAAAATGTGGTGAAGCCATTGCTGTATTTGCTCCAAAGCAAATGTCGGCCTTTCTAGTTTTTAGTTTCTTTTGTCATCAACAAATTTCACTTTCAGAAGTGTTGTTGCAGTACCTTCTCTTATCAATTTTTCTGTGAAGTATGGCAAGACCTTTATCCCAGTCTTATATTCATGAGATAGAGATGCCTCCTTGTGGTCTACTGAAGAGTTGCAATCTACTAGTCTGCATGGTCTGTTTTGAGGAAGAATACTGGCAGACCTTCAGTACAATGTACAAAACCTAGTATGTTCTTCCAACACTGGCACTTCATGTGTATTCTAACAATTGTAAATAATCTGCCCACAAGAGGGCAATATATTTCTATTAGCAACTAATTCAAGTCAAATAACAGTTTCAAGTGACATAAAAAAACATGAGATTTCAAAGTGTCAAAATGACTACATTTGTACATCTATAGTAACAATTACACAGTATATATTCAATACATGTACAATGTATTCACAACTCAAAGGGAACAACTCATCTATCTTCAACATCAGTATAACATATCAAGGGATCTTTCTTCTATTCTCAGCATTAACATTTTTTCAGCCAAACAATGGGGCAAAGGGGAATCTAAACACAAGACCTGACAAAAGGAGGTTACAATGTCCCCAAGTTAGCCTTTCCAGCCAACTTCACAAGAAATTAACACGATAACTCCATCAGGTGTTTTAGTACTTTTACATAACTACTATGCCAAAAGTAACATTGTTCAGCCTCACCACATAGAGCAATGTGTGGAGCTCTACTCTTTAGGTTTGTTGTAGGGGTGAAGTTTTTGGACCCTCTGCCTGCGAGACAGACCAACTCGGATTGGTCGAGAACACGTCTTCAAAGGTGACACACCGAAGACACCGCATGATGACGTATCTGTGAAAAGAAAGAGGTATTTTATCATCATTAAGTATCTCAAGCTATCTAATCCAGATTGGAATTATATAGCTAACATTTATCACAGTTGAAGTCCATCATTTTGATATAATAGTAGCAGAGGGTCCATTGCAAGGCCACAAATAAATAACCCTTAGACTTAACAAATCACTTTATCACTGACTATAAAATAGCATCAAGTCAAATGATGATGAACAGTCCTAAACAAACCCTTATATAGGATATCTCATTGTGCCATTTTGTTACACAA